CTGGTGCAGGGAAGGGTGAAACGGGCTCTGCTTTGACGATCCCTGGGCTGAGGTGACTTGAGAAGATACCCAGGTACAGGTCTGGGGTAACTGAAGCCATAAGAAAGACAGGACTGTCCAGATAGTGGGCAGAACAGGCCGCCAAGAAGCCAAATGGGAAAGGGGCAGGCTGGGAGGACCCTGCAGAGGCCTCAGAGAGCAGGGGAGGGCAGCAGAGCCCACACTAACAGCTGCAAAATGCTGCAAAATGGGATATGAACTCTGACCTGGCAGGCCGGGGTGTTCAATGCAGCTGTTAATAACACAGCAAGCTAGGCGTGGTGGCTCACACCTGAAATCCCAGCACTTTGGGAGGCCAAGGTGGGCGGATCACAAGGTCAAGAGATCAAGACTATCCTGGCCAACATGGTGAAGCCCTGTCTCTACTAAAAATACAAAAATTAGCTGGGCGTGGTGGCTCGCACCCGTAGTCCCAGCTACTCGGGAGGCTGAGGCAGGGAAATCACTTGAACCCGGGAGGCGAAGGCTGCAGTGAGCTGAGGTCGCGCCACTGCACTTCAGGCCAGTAACAGAGACTCCATCTCAAAAAAAAATAAAAAAACAGCACAGTGTCCCTGCTGGGGCGGGTGCACCCTCTGAGAAAGCACGCCATGGAGAAGGACATGGAGTCCCGTCCAGGTGTCTGTACCGGAAAATGCCCTTGCCCAGGTTCCAAGACAGCACACGGCAGGCATGTATGGAAAAAACCCAGGGACATCAGGAGGGTTGGCCACCAACACCACGTCCCCCCAGTTGTTTCTGAGACCCTGGATTTTGGTTAATTCTTTCCTTCTTCATATTGTTCTATACTGTACAACTTTCGTCTTTTTTTGAAATAGGGTTTCGCTGTCACCCAGGCTGGAATGCAGTAGCACCATCATGGCTCACTGCAGCCTCAACCTCCTGGGCTCAAGCGATCCTCCCACCCCCGCCTCCCAATAGCTGAGACCATAGGCGTGAGCCACAACACCCAGCTAATTTTTGCATTTTTTTTTTTGGGTGGGAGCAACAGGGTCTTGCCATGTTGGCCAGGCTGGTCTTCAACACCTGGGCTCAAGCAATCCTCCCACCTTTGCCTTCCAAAGTGCTGGGATTACAAGCCTGAGACACAGTGTCCAGCCTGTTAGGGCCTTTAGGATTATGTATTCGTGTTTTCTACTATCTTTTCAATGTTGCAAAGATCAAGAAGAACAAGAGCTGAACTGACAGTTGATTTAACTCAAATGTGAGCACAAAGGGTGGCGAACAGAAAGTGAGAAGTGAGGAGGCAGAAGCGGGGCTGCGGGACTGGAAGGCTGAAGGGCTGGGGGACCGAGGGGCTGAGGAGCTGGGAGGGTGGGGAGTTGAGGAGCTGAGGAGCTGGGGGGCTGGGGGACTGAAGGGCTGAGGAGCTGGG